GTTCCAAAGCTCCTAGACATCTTTTAGCCCGTGGAATGGGAAGTCTATGTCCAGCCAAAACAGCTGTGGGCATCTGTTCGGTCCCAAGTCTAGTCAAAGAGGTTTGCCATTTATTGCTGAGATCCAGCTGTAAGTCTCCCAATCTAATTTCCAAAGTATATATAGAGGGTTGATGTAAGTAGCCCTGGCCACTGTAAAATCATTCTGCCTGGCAATATCTCAGAGAACAGACATTAAATACCAAAAGAATGGCAAACTTGAAAGACTCATTCACTACGTGGAATTCAAAATATTGACACCAGAAAGAAATATAAATTGCTGAGACACCCTGGGCATATTTATGCATCAGGTGTGGCTGGTAAACTCAGACTGGTGGGGCAGTAGAGCATCCCCCAGGAGTTGGGGGAGGCCTGTGGAGCATCCCACAGGAGAGCGGGGGGGAAGTATGGTTTGCAGCCAGCTGGGCACTCCAGCCGGTAGCGGGGAGGCTGCAAACACCCCCACTCCCAGCCAGCTGCAACCCCCCCACCACACCCTGCCATGCTGCCAGCCAGCTGCAAACACCCCCCTCCCCCATTCCCGTGGGTGCTCCATTGCCCCACCAGTCTGAGTTCACCAGCTGCACATGCTATTAATGAGCTTGGAGCTTAATTGCTCTGGAGTTAATTGCTCCCAGGCACACCATGAATGTGTGTCTAGTACCACAGCACGTTGAGCTGTGTCTGAGCAACCCTGGCTGGCAGAGGGCCCCAGGGGTCCACCTGCCAGCCTGGGACTACTGTATACTGGCTCAGCATGCTGGAGAGGGACTGGCTGGGGCATGAGGGTGCTCCAGCGTGGGGCTAACTGGCAGGCAGGCCCCACACTAAAGCATCCTTACACTCCTGCCAGCTGGGGCAGCATCTACACATGCGCTACTTTGGAGTAAAAAAAAAAACAAAAAACTCTACAGCAGAGATAGTACTTGTATTTACAAGTACCATCCTGCTGTGGAGTTTATTAGTTTACTCAAGCCTAATAGGAGCTCAGGTGCAGACATGTGACATTTACTGTAAAGCTAATTAGTCTACTCCACAGTAAATGTCTCATGCAGATGTGCCACCTGTCAAGTTATAAACCAGTTTTAATCTATGGATGGGATGATCAATTGGTATAGCATGTAGATCAAAAGTATTGTCATCAGCAGTATATAACGTTAACTTGTAAATCCACTATTCCCTGTTCACTGTCGTTGCATTTAAGCATGCACCAGCAGTTCTGTAAACATTACAAAAAGTTAAGATGGATGTTTCTCAGTCAATATTTAAATACCTTTGAAAGGCTGCAATAAAAGTTCAGCTAAAGTAGTGAGAACAACTAAATTTAACTATGTAGAACAAAATTAATACAACTACAATGAGTATTATCTTCCTGAGGTTCCTGCAACTCTTTTACGCTCTGCAATACACACTCCAAAAATCTCTCATTACTTAAGCCAAAGTGTTATTCTAAGGGGAAAAATAAAAAAGAAAGTGTTTCTTACTCAAACATTTTTTTGAATAGAAGAAGGTGGTTTATAGGCTTCCTGATTTAAACTTGAATCATGACCCACTTGTTCTCAAGTAGGTCACTCTGTGGTATGCTGAATTAAATAACAAAAGCCGGGCCAAAAAGTAGATGGAGCTAAAAGGAAGTGGCTTTTTAAAATCTTCTATTTCTGCTGTATTAGTCATGGGTATAGTGAGCCTTTGCTAGGGAGTTTCTAGCAACCTTCTTGATCTGCATGTTCTGCCCTTTCAGGTACATAAGACTCCGACACATTGCTAAATGTTACTTTCCTAGTTTTGTCTGGTCAATAAAAATAGCTACAAGTAACTTTTTCCACAGTGACCTCAAAAAATAAAAATAAAAATGTCACTCTTAATAAATAGGATCATCTATTTACTATTTCCTAAACCTCCCCCTCCCCACATCTTCTTCAGCCTCAGAAGCCTTTTCCATTTCTGTTTTGTAAATCATGGCTCTAATCTTTGAACTATGTAGCTATATACTATCACTGTTGTATTTACTATGTAGTACACCTTAAGATTTCCAGGAGTCTGTTGCATACATACACTGCTGCCATTTTAACAGACATAATTAATAGCAAGTTACACAGGACCATTTTGATTACTTTTATTTGGACGTTTAGATTTTATTAAATACTACTATTACCATATTAACCTGAATCTAAGATGACCCTGAATTTAAGAGAACTCCACCAATTATTAGATTTTGTTAGATGCTTGCCTGGCTGATACTCAAAATGTGTTTTAATTTTCTTTATCCAGAATCTACTTATTAGAGGGTCCTCTTCAATTCTTCCTCTCTACCCATGCCAAAGGGAAAGTAGTGGTAGGGGAAAACAGGCAATCTCCCTCACCACCTTTACCCCCATGTCCCTTGTCCCCCTGCCAGTCATCTTCCCCCGTGGCTGTCCCCCTGCCATCTTCTCCCTCAGGGTCTTTCCCCCTGCCACTTGTCCCTCTCTGGTGTATGCCATGCCCCCTTGCCTTTGCAGTGGTTCCAGCTCGGGCTCTGAGCACCTGGCTGGGCCAGGCAGTAGCAGCAGCTCCAGCCTCTAGCCCTGGCTGGGTTCTGACATTTTCTGACACAGAAACTGATAACTTTCTCTCAGATTTTAGCACATGCACATAACCTTCTCTACCAACACCACTTCACTTAACTGGCTGACCAGTCAATTCATAGGGATCATTATCCAATCAGACACTGTTAGAAACACCAAGAGTGTTTCTGTAGGTCACTTGGACATTTCTAACAGCGTCCGATTTATCTGAAGAGCTAAAAGATCTACTTAGTCACACCTGAAGAGAATTTGTGTTCATACTTGATGAGCTCTTTATCTATTTAAGGATTCTTCATAGTTTGTTATCTGGTATCTTCAGGATTGGAAGCATGCTGGCTCATTTCTATTGTCCAAAACTGAATTAGGAGACAGATTTTTAAATAAGATCATACTGTACATCTCCCAAGTGCTCATGCTGCATTAACTAACTTCTTCCCTTTTGCAAAGGTCTTTGGTCAGTGTTCTATTATTAATCAAATCTACAAGTATTTTCCCATATAATCCCACTCACAGAAGGAACATACAGAGGAACTTCCTCACATACAGGAACTTCATTCACAAACTTGTTTATGATTTTTTCCTGTGCAGTCAAGATAGCTAGAAAGAAACTTTTAAAAAATAGAAGCTGAGATTCTCATGCAATCATAAAGCTACCAGAAGCTGTAACTTAAAAAACCCCCAAAAAACCAACAAGTGAGATTAGTAATCAAAAGAGTTGTTAAGATCCAAACAGAGGTCATAGGAGTTGTTCAGAAGTGAAGCATAGGCCTTCTATCCCAATAGTAGAGATACAGGGTCATGAACCTACAGGACAGAGTCAGAGTCAGCACCATCTACCTACCAACCTAAAATCCAGAGTCAGAAGCCATAATCAACACTATACTGAGAGGTCCAAGGCAAGGGAAACAAGACAAAAACTAGGGTATAGGTCAGAAGCCAGAGACAGAAACCAGCATCAAACCAGGGTTAGCAGTCAGAGGTCAAGAGCCAGTGCAAGAACTAAGGGGATCAGAGCAGGAGCTGGGAACTAAACAGAAACGAGAACCAGAACATGAGCAGGGATACAAGGCTCAGAGACAGTCATAGGCCAAGGCACAGATGCAGTCCAGGGAAGCAGTGAACCACCAAGATGGTTCTTAAGAGTACTGGGTTCATATCCTGTAGCCAGTGGGGGCAATCAAGCATAGCTGAACCTAGAGGGTCTCAAGCTTAGTGCAGACCCTTAGTCCTAGTATAAGCCACTAAGATGGTTTCAACTAATAGCAGCTTTTAGCCTCCACAGCAGAATATAGACCATAGGCAACACGTAGGGGTGGGGGAGGATGTGCCCCCCCAAAATTGGCCCTCACTGGCCAGGGAGTGCCAGCCAGTGCCCCTCCTGAGAAGCGCTGGTGGCACTTCCGGTTTTGCCAGCGGCGCTTCCGTGGTCAGCAAAAATCAGCAGCTGGTGGCCCCCAGAGTCAGGAGGCCTGTCCAGGTTCAATAAGCTTAAAGAAGTGAACACCCAGAGGATGCATGCGAGACATCCACCTGACAAGAAAAATGTGTTTTATTCTACCAAGCAAGAAAGGAAATGTTGGGCATCCAACTGTACCAGTTTAGACAGAATGATCATGCCTAATGGAGAACTAGTAAAAGCAAAGTAGGAAATCCTTAAACTTCTCTATGTGAATGTTAGCCCTCAGGAGTTAGCCTGATTAAGAGTCAAAGGTCTTCTGTGCGTGAAATGGGTATCCACAAGCTGTATTTCAACTCTCCACTGCAGGGGCCACCTTTAGTGATGGAGGGGGTCCTCCATGTCTGTGGTTACTCATTCTCAGCTGACGTTGCCAACGTGTAAAAAAAAATCTGATGTGCTTTCCCCATTCCTGAACTGCTTTGTGTACACATTATTTTCCCAGGGTAAGAGATAAAGAAACTTCCTTTGTTCCAGTTAGAAGCACAAAAGCATGCTGAGAACAAGTTCTTATACGGAATAACTAGAAAGCACCTGCTCTTCTGGTGGTTCCTATCCTATAATATTCACTCCCTGGGGCAACAGTATAACATAAAATACATAGTTTTAGTTTTCAGTTATGGCTTCCTAGCCCTAAACAGTGAAGTTCCAGGAGCAAAAGAACAGTGATCCGAATGACTACGGACAAAATCTGTTTTATTTCAGAGATATAAAATGAATTTGTATAAGTAAGTTGTGGGTGCTGGCAGAATTTTTTATCACCACATTATTCTCCACTTTTTCCTTCAGTCACACGTGCTCTATAAATACAAAACACTCCAAGTTTCACCTTTTGTCCTTATACTAAATATCCCTGTTGGGTGATGTAATTTTTGAGTAATACTAAAAATTAAAGATCATAGTTGGTTAGACAAAAATAAATGAGAATGAAGAAACAAATAGAATATCTGGTTTTATTTAAGTTGATGTTCATAAACAATACACTGAATCCAATAGGGCGCACAGTACCCAATCTGTTGTACATTATATTTGACTATACACAGTAATGAAAATGATAGCAAACAAAAGCAACTTACATAATGCTCAATTCAAGCAAATAAATGATGCAATATAAATCAAATGCAAGTAATTAAATGGTCCCAAAAAAGCCAGGAATAGGTGTAGAGTCAGCACACAACAGTGTACAAGAGAATATCCTAACCTAGTGTAGGTTCTGCAGATCACCTCTATATGTTTAGTTCCATTTCAGAAACCATCTTGATTTGACATCTTCTTGAGCCTTTTACTTTAAAAAAAAATAGCGAGGGAAAAAAAAAGAAACATGGATGAGCATCAGTATCCTCTTCAGTGTAAAATTCATTGCTGGTATGAGCAGGTGCAGCTCCATGGAGCTCAGTAGCGTTGTACCAATTCATGCCAGCAATAAATTTGTCTGATAATCTGAAATTTCCCTTTACCCCCTCCACCAATTTCAGCCTATGTCATTACCCCTATATAGGGTGAGGGACAAATGGAACACCCATCCCATCCTTCCCACAGGCCCTAAAATAAACATGCATCTAATACCCTCTTCTCTCCAGGAGAGTAGAAGAAAAATGCATATATTTTCAAAAGCACATAGTCAGCATCTGCTAAGACAGTGCATTCTACGTAAGAGCTTAGGTCATGCAGCATCTGTGGATATGAGACATGAGCTTTCATAGGGAACAATTATGATACAACTCAAACCAACCTCCTACATGGCTTCCAGCTAACACAGCACCTGTCTGTGGATACTTATTCATGCTTAAGTTTGGGCAGGCTGTTGGATTTGAAAGCCTTCCTACCTCAGAAAAAGAAGTTGTTTCTTCACCCACTTGGCTTTTGGGTTTGTGCATGCTCTTATCCCACTCTTTGTGTGAAAACTGGAAGGAAAAAAAGATGAGAAATCACTAGGAGAGCACTTTTTTTTTTAAGACCTAGAAAGTTACATTTAACACAACAATAATGCAATAGAACAAAAAGGGTTATTTATGGCAGCTCCACACAAAAAGCATCATATTTTATATTTAATAGTGAAAGAACAGCTCAGAATAAGAATTATGATTTCTCAGATATTCACTCTCCAGGGATACAGTCTGCCTTATGTTACCAATAGACAGTGTCTTTGCCATTTCTTGTATCTTCCAGTAATGCTTAGCACTACAAAACACTCATACTTTAGTATACAGATACTGGGTGTATTTACATATGTAGCATCTATATGTGCACCCAGAATCAGCAATATGAGCCAGGGCAGAGCAGATTCCCAGCTGGCTGGGCTGATTGGGCACGATTTACATCTCTGGTCAGTGTCTACACATGTGTTTCAGCACAGTAAAGTACTCCATCTTAAAATAGTACTGTACCCAACAGTACTATCTTTTGGTGGAGTTAATTAGTTTACTGTGCCCCAATACCAGTGCATGTGTAGATAGTGTCACTTTACTACGGAGCTAATTAGTCTACTCCACAGTAAAGCACGTGTAGGTGCACCAACTGTGCGAGAATGCGTTAACAGTCTTTCCCTAATTTTTGTGCTATAGAAAGAACTTTAATATCAACACTAAAGGAATTGTATAGATTATAGTTTGTGTAAAGAAACACATTTCTCTGACTGCTTCTACCAGCTTAAAGATAGTTATATCATGGCAAAAAAATATATATCTATATTCATCTTTCTTCTGGCAACTTACATGATAGCATTGATGTCACAGACTTCATTTGATGATTGTTCTGTATAGCCACTTATGACCCAAGGAGGCAGTGCAGCACGTGTGTAGGAAAGGCAGCAATCTTGGTTGCTTTGTGCTAGAACGGAGAAAAATGCTTTTCAGAAAAGCAGTCTAATTCTGTATGTGGGAAATTTTCAGACAAAGACCTCAAACTAAGACTGTTACAGTCTTCTCCTCAGGATAGTAAATCAGAACTGGAGTATTTAGAATGTTCTTTGAGAGGATCATTAGGGAAAAAAAGTAACAAAAGCAAAAATAGCACCAGATATACCCACAGCTTTCAGCATTAACTACTGTGCTGGTGTTACCAGCAATGACTAGAATTAATTAAACACAAAGACTAGTCTATATCCTCCCCTCTTCTCCCCCAGATGATGCACAGAATGGGACTGAGACCTTGCTTAGAAAATGTGCAATAATCACTGTCTATTCTGTGGATGAAAAGGTTTCTCTGGCTCTTCAAGAAAAATAAATTTGTTACAATATAAAAATAAAGAGGAAGAGGAAGCCAGCCTTGCACAACCATGTAATGCTTGAAGAACTTGCTCCTACTTTCATGAGGTCAAATCAACAGAATTCCTAGGCACCAGAGGGATATTTGAGGCCACATCTATGGAGGAACCAAAAGCAAAGATTACTCACCCTCAGCAGTCCAGAAAACAAACAGCAGCCCCACCAAAAAATACAAGACCAAGGTCTTGCTGTTGAAGCTTGCCATTTTTAGATCAACAGTCAAGTTTGCTGGAAACTTCACTTGATGTGTGTCAAAAAGTCTATTGCAGCAATTTGATCATATTGGCCATGAACAACCTTCTTATAAAACACCAGCTGTGGCCTGAGGAATTCTTAAATGGGTGTACTCTACTCTTATTTTCCACTGGGTATTTCCCTCAGCAATTCATTAACCTGATTAATTAATGTTGACACAGGCACCAACTCTGGGAAATTTTTTTTGCTAATAAGTATGGAAAGCAAGTTAAGCTAAAACGACAAAGGTAGAAAACCCCTGTGAGTCATGGCCTTGTGGGCAAAGCACCTGAATATTGTGGAGGTGGGACTATAGGTGACAGGAGATGGAGAGTTCGAAGAACCTGCCCAGAGAACAAGTTTGCTTTGTTTCACAAACCTAGTATTTGAACAGAGAGGCAAGAGCTTCTTTCTCCTTCATTCTGCTCATTTCCCCCCCTAATCTGAGTTCCTTTAACTGGCCCCTCATATAAAGATCGTGCATTTGGTCCTCACCTTTGCAACTCTTTGTGACTTCTCCTCCATAACACCTCTAGTCTCATCATTTCTCTTCAGCTGCCTAATCCTTCTCCTACCCTTTCTTCCCAATGGGCCTGCCATTCTCCATCCCACTCTGGCCCTTGTGCCTTTATCCTTGCCTGTTCTTATGTTTGGTGCCTGGTGACAGAATTCCAAATATTCTCCCTTTCATTATTCTATTTCTTCCAAAAATCCATTTCTCCCACATTACCCAAAAGGATCTCCCAAGCCTTTTGGATCCATAAAAATGGCTAGTGACACAAATATTTGCATCTCTGCTGTCTGAACAGTGAGCTCCTTGGGCCAGGAACTCCATTTTAGGTATTTGTATTATGTTTACAGGATTCCCTCGTTTGCCTCATACCAGTTAGCAGGTCTTAGAACTCTACAAGAAGCTTGCTGTTTAATTATTCTTACTATATGGAGACTGAGACTTGTTAGGCTACACCCTAAAAGGAAGAGGGGGTAGAATCAGTTAGTAGGAGCCTTTGGGCACATCCAGATGAGCCCGCACATGCCTCTTGCACCATGTCAAACTCCTGTTATATATATATTTTTTGTTTGTTTTAATTGTAGAGAAACATGGATTTCAGGGTATTTTGCAGAGTGACTTTGTGATTTTTTTTGTCAGGGATTTTTCAGTTTTCCAATAGGGAACACCAGAATTCCTGCTAGGGAGGCCAGTGGCAGGACCTTACCTGCTGAGAGCTGACACCTTGGACCCAGCTGGAGGTGGCTGACCTTGTGGCCACTTGGGGCCAGGAAGACATGCTTTGACAATTCAAAGCAGGCCACCACACCCAGAACATCTTCTGGGTGATAGCTGCCCAGATGGCGGGGCACGGGGCAGGGGGCACACTTGGCATTAGGGCTGCACAAAGGCCAACTTTCCAGCCACAGTCCACTGGCAGCTGGCTGTGCAGTCCCCATCCAGGTCTGGCAGATGCACAGCAGGTCACAGCCAGGTAGCAGCCCCTGCTGCTAGACTGCTGCAGTGGGTAAAGAGCGCAAGGAACTCAGGGCTGCTTCAGCAATCCAGCTTGCACAAGGGGTAGTGTCCCCAGGTACCAATTGGCTGGGCCCCAGAAGCTCCTGAAAGTGAGTAGCCCCAAGCTACTTGACAGGGCAGCTATTTGTACTGATGGGGCTAGGACAGGGCAGCTTTTTATATAGCTGGAGACAGCACAAGTGCTGGCCCAGGGCTCTAGCTCCCCCTGGATGCAGATTCAGGAGGAGCCAGGAAGGGTTATTTTGTCGTAAGCGGCACAATTTGCCACTTGGGGGCAACAGGCAGACAGAACAACCATGTGACACTTTAGCTTATTCCAGAGACAAGGCCAGCTGGATCAGGACCACCAAAAATGGCACCTTTGGACTTTCCTACATGCATTGTAATGGGGTTCCACTCCAGAGGTGGCCATGATGCCCCTGGAGCCCCCAAAGCCTTTGCCAATCTCCCCTTCACTCCCCTACCACACCTTGATGGTATTATCTTTTAGAAAAAGGGAGGCTGTCCCAGGATTTCCTGAGACTGATCTCAGGCTTCTGAGCTCAGGTATCTTTGCTCTCAGCCTTAAGGGCTAATTACATTATTTGACTATCCCTTACACCACATCCATGCCTCACAGAAGTTGGCAATTAATGGCTTCAGTAGGCACTTGGTCCCAACCCAATAGCAGGACACCTCAGACCTTTACACCCTAGTTGGGGTCTCAGCCTTCCCAGGCTCAGTCCCTTTTCTCTTGCTGTTCCACTCCGCCTGACCTGTTTCTAGCCCTTAAAGGCCTGATCTGGCTTTGTCCTCACCCTATCCTGGGCAATACACTCACTGAGCCTCCTTTGGCACCTGAGGCCCCCTGGCTCTTGCATCTGTCTTCTTTGTGCACAGGACACCCTGGCCCTCGCTCCACCCTTCCTGACTCTTGCCCAGCAAGGCTTCAGCCTTTCTTTCTTCCTCTCTGGCCTGTAAACTCCTCCCTGGGCCTAAACCTGTGGCATGCCCTGCATTAGGGCCTCCAGCTGGGCTCTAAACACTGGCGTGCCTCTAGCGCTTCACTGTAGGTTAAACTACCAATATACCTATCAAGTACCCCACCATGGGTTAAACCCCCAGGTACCCCACTGTGGCCTCCACTCACTCTCCTTTCAAGCACTCCCAAACTACCTGTTGTAAACTGTAACAAACAGAACGAGCACACACTGGCTGTAACAAACTTAACCTGCTCTCAGTGTAGCAAATGATACCAATAGCTCATTGTCTGCAGCAAAGACTCCCCCTACCTGGGACTGTGTTCCTCTAAGACACCAGCAACAGCTAGCAGTCCTTAGAGCAGCTCTAAAATCAGCCTGGTATTGTTCTGCAGCCTTCCTGGCCTGCAGCTTTTCATCCAGCAGTTTGCAGGGCTAAATTACTTGGCTAATTCAGGCCCTGGCTTATATGCTTCAAGCCTGGCTCCCTTCTGGTCAGGTGGCTCTCTAACCACCTGCAGGGGTTCCTCATCAGGGCCTAAAGACTGAGTGCCACGGTGACTTCAGACTACTGCCCTAGCAGCCTCCTGCTGCTGGAGTTACTTTGCCCTTGGTTTGTGTGCTGCCAGGTCTATGATAAGCAGTACTGTAGTAGGGGAGGGAGGGGTGAAAGGGGCGACTGCCATGGGCACCAAAGCTAAGGGGTGCTAACAAGCGCTGCCCAGCTGCAGCAGGGCACAGGATGGAGCCACGAGTTGCTCATTTGGTGGGGTGCAAAGACATGGGGAGGGCAGTTTCTGCCACTATGTGCACTCCCAGGCAAGCATGGGAGGGCATGTGCCCCAGTGCAAGGGTGGCTGTCACTGCAGGCTTGCCCCAGGCACCAAACTTCCTTGCTACTGTACTGATGGTAAGTCATGGTAGCCACCAGTCTCCAGCTATCTGGTCCCTTGCAGCCAGCCCAAGCTAGATAGAGATCTCCTGACAAACAAAAGGTGCAACCCTTTACCTGGTTGGGCCGCTCTCCTGCCTGAGCAGCAGGGCTTTGCCATTGCCTGTCTCTCTAGCTGCAGTTTTTTTTCTTAAAGTAAAAGGGGCCTCCAGCTTTATGTTACTTGCATCAAACAGAGTTTAGGTGCAACTATGGACCTAACTGTTTGTGCCTAATGTTATGAACCTAACTCCATACTTGAACAGCCGGGTAAACCAAGTAGCTTTTTTTCAGAGGTGCCAAATCTCAGGGCAGCTGGGATCTGGAACCAACTTCCAAGAGAAGTGGTACTCATTCTACCCTGGGGGTCTTCAAAAGGAAGCTAGATAACCACATAGCTGGGGTCATTTGACCCCAGCATTCTTTCCAGCCCATGGCAGGGGGTCGGACTTGATGATCTGCTCAGGTCCCTTCTGACCCTACCGACTATGAAACTCTGAAACTATGAAATGCACAGCTTCTGTTATTGCAATATTATTTGTACATCAGCAGTACCCAAAGACTCCACTGTACTGGAAGATGCTGTATGTACACATATGCATACATAGAAAGATTCTGTCCCTCCCCAGAAACTTTACAATACGTCTCTATACAACAAAAGAGTGTTATTGCTATCAGCATACCCACACTCACTTTTATCAAGCAGCTCTGGCAATGGTATTAGTGAATTTGTGAGGTGGACAGATGGACACTGGTGTGAGCTGTACAAGCTGGTTGGGAATCCTGTATGTGTACCTGGGTTGTTAGCCAATGGCTGAAGTCCATGCCACTATGTCTGCACTGCTATTGTTACCTCTATTAGTCAGATTGAAGTGAATGTAGGTAGTCTTGTGGAGACATACCTTATTTCACATGAGATTTGAGCTAGAGCTGCAAGAGGTAACCTCCAAAATAATATTTAATGTAACCTCTTCTCCACATTTCACAATTCTCCCACAAGAGAGAGAGAGAGGAAGGAGACCTCTTACAACAGAAAAGATGATAGTCACATTATATGGCATTCATGGAAGATGCCTAGTTTCTATAGTGATGAGATCAGTATAACAACCTACAGTAACCAGAATAAACAATAGGATATTGACAGCCCTGGTATGCATCACAGATGCTCTATTGTGTGGAGCACACCAAAAAGTCTAATTATTTTTCTTAGATCCCTTCCTCCATTAGAATTCAGACATTCATTTAGGGGTTAAAAATATATCCAGATGGCCAAGACACCTTTCCATCTACAGTACTGGAAACTGTATTTAAATTATTGTTAAACTGTATAGCGCACTAGATGGGCTCTTATAATTGTTAAATAGCAACATAACAATAAACCACTAAATGTCTGATGCCAACATATAACATGGTTATTACTCATTTATTAACTGGCACATAGGTCTTTTCTAGAAGCAGCTTCTAGCTCAGAACCAGATAGGTAACTTCAGCAAGAAAATGTCTGCAGAGATCTCACAGAGACTACTTCCTGGTCAACCCATTAGATTCTGGGTTCTCTCATTTACCACCCTACCCAGCTAACAAGCTATGTGGCTGAGCCAGTGAAGATGAAATGAATGTTTCTTAAACTTGTAACTATAGGTAGAAGGTAATTTAGGGGGAGGGGAGGGGAGGCTGAGGGAGTAGAAGGGGAGCATCCTAGACAATGGGGCTTCTCTTCTCGTGCAAACTAAGTTATGTATCTGGTTATGTGTTGCAGGCTTGGAGCCTAGCTGCCTCCTGAAGCAACCTAAAGCAGTTCTCTGAAGAGCAGTTGCTTGGATTAAAACAGGACTAGTTACATAAAGTTTTGCGGTGACAGCTTGGTTGCTTTGGTTTTCAAAGTCTCCCTAGACTCCGTAGCAGTATCCCTGCTACACTTTCAATATGCAGAGTTCAATCAACCTCTGTCTGTTCAGAAGATTCTTTGTTTTTCTGAAGGTATGGCGGGGTGGCACCTTTGGGTGCCTGTACATGTGCAGGGAGGCTGCTCTTATGCACTGTAATTACAGTATGTCAGAGCAGACTCAATTCATCGCTAATTAGCATGCTCCAGCCAGTCTCCATGTCTCATGAATCAGCATCCCCATGCTTCAAAATGGCGGCGGGGACATTTTAACTAACGCTCGTTCGATAAGCTTTAGTTAAAGCGCCCCCCACCACCATTTTGAAGTGCGGGAATGCTGATGCACAAGACACTGCAGGTGTTTTAATTAGAGTGGCTATCAGAGTTGCTCTAATTAAAGTGTCCCCTCCTGTCCCCAGAACATGTGTAAAAACGCCCTTTGAGACTTTTTCTGGTAGCATTAGAGCAATGCTAGTTCTTTCTGTATTTTTTGTCTGCTTTCCCCTGAACAAACATAGAATCTGATAAAGAAGGTGTTTTAATGTAAGTGGGGCCAATAAAAGGTCATGTAAAACAAATATACATGACTGGGGGAAGGGAAGGGGAGATGGAAAGGGAGGGAGAGGAGGGAGGGAAGGAGTTGTATCAAACACATCCACAACCACCTATACAAACAGAGTGAAAAAAGAAAGTTTATATATGAGCATTTACAGATGTGTGTGGCATAGATAAGGGGACTGTCTGATCTAGATGTTCATGAGCACATGAGCAGTTCATTTCAAAAGCCCATAGTATATTTCCAATAAACCAAATTCAGACATCTCATTTGGGGTCATTTAATATGTTTTTAAAGTATCTCCACAGTTTACACTCTCTCTCAAATGCATTGATTTTTTACAATAGTAAAAAATAATTGTATCCATTAGAATGCAATTGGAACATTTTTGACACAAAAATACTAAAAATATAATAAAGCAGACAAAAATAGTCTGTTCTACATATGCTAAATAAAACAAACTTGCTATGCAGTGAATCCCATAGAGCAGGGGTGTCAAACATATGGCCTCCAGGCTATATCTGGCCCATGGAACTGTTCCATCTGACCCACTGGTAGTCCAGCAAACCACCAGAAATCTGGAGACATGGCCAGTGAAGCATGACTGCTGAAGAATTCAGGGTCCCTGGACCCTGATGGACATTGGTATCAATGGCAGAAGGGCAAGTGAGGACTGTGTAGATACTGCCCTCATTTGCCCCACTGCTGCCCAAATTGCCTCTCGTTTCCCCCCACCCATGCTGCCACCCAATTTCCCCACCTCTGCTGCTACCCACTCCCAGACCTCTGCTGCCTGGCCCATGCTGTCACTCGCCCTTGGATCCTCACCATTCACCCCACACCATGACCCACCAGTCACTGCTGACTGCACAGATCCAACCCAGGGAGAGCCTTCGCAGACCAGATCCAGCCTGGGGTCTGGGGTGAGTTTGACACCCCTGCCATGCAGCACATACTTTGTATAGTATAATAGCTTATATGTCCTCCTCCTCCTCCACTTACTTATCCAGCAGTAAACATTAGCAAAGAAAACAGCTACTTTAACAAAATGCATAATTCAAGTAAATGTGTGATGCAATATGAATCAACTTCAGGAGTTCAACGGTTCCAAAGAAGCCAAGAGTAGGGGTCAGTAAGCACACAACAGTGTACAAGACAGCAATTCCAACCTAGTTTAGGTTCTGCAGCCACCTCAGCATGAGTTCCATTTCAGAAACCATATTATCTTGACATCTTTTCAAGCTTTTTGCTATTAAAAGAAAATGAGAAAACACACAAATAAGCATTGGGGAACTTCCTCAGCCATAACAAAGTTTTCAGTTTTATGCACATGGTCATGTTTCTGCCATCAGTACATGAGAGACTCTCTCACAAACACTCATATGCAGTGCCGTAGCAAGTGGTGCGAGCCAGGCAACTGTACCAGGTGCTGAACCAAAGGGGTGCCAACAGGCACTGCCCAGCCGGGGCGAGGCATGAGACAGAGCCGTGAGTGGCTCATTGGGCAGGGGGGGGCAGGCGCAGGGATGGGAGGAGGGTGGCTTCTGCCACTGTGTGCACTCCCAGGCAAGCATGATGTGGGGGGTGCCCCCCAGATCTGTGCGCAGGACAAGGGTGGGCTGTCACTGTGGGCTTTGCCCCAGGTGCCAAACTTCCTTGCCACAGCACTGTTTGTATGCACGTAAAATATCTGTCCTTATCCTTATCTCCATGAGGATTCCAAAAATATGCAGCCATGTCTAACAGGAAAAGGAAGGGAAGTGACACTGATACATTCAAAATGAGCATTGTTGGAGTCTTGAGTGTCTTCTCCCCTTCCAAGAACCCCTCTAATATCATCAGTAGATACTTAGTGCATTCAATGTTAACCAGGCTACTATATTTTAAACCATTTTTACCTCAGCCAAAAAAGATGCCTCTTCACCCAGTGCGCATGTGGATCTGCACAAGCCTTCTTCCCACTCCGTGTGTGAAAACTGAAAAGAAAGGCACGATAAACAACTACTGTCACTTACTTCTAGGAAATTGTACACAGCAACAGTCAGTGGAATAAAAAGATATCCCAATGTTATTCCATCAGTAGCAGGTATTTTAGAGGAGCTCAGTAAGGTCCTTTTTTTTACTATTCTTAATTTTACAGATACAAGGAAATACTCAACTATATTACACGTTCATAGAATCATAGAAGTAGGGTTGGAAGGGACCTTGTAGATCTTCAAGTCCGATCCCCTGCCTGGGCAGGAGGAAAACTGGGCTCAAATGACCCCAGTCAGGTAGGCATCATGCCGCTTCTTGAAGACCCCCAGGGTAGGAGCCAGCACCACTTCCCTTGGAAGTTGGTTCCAGATCCTAGCCGCCCTAACTGTGAAGTAGTTCCTATGGATGTCTAATCTAAACCTACTCTCCAACAACTTGTGGCCATTATTCCTTGTTATTCCGGAGGGCACTAGGGGAAACAAGGTCTCCCCCAAACCCTTCTGGTCCCCCCTAGTGAGTTTATAGATAGTCACAAGGTCCCCCCTCAGCCTTCTCTTGTGAAGGCTGAACAGGTTCAGGTCCTGTAGCCTCTCACTGTAGGGTCTGCCCTGCTGTCCCTGGATCATGCGGGTGGCATCATTTAGAACTGATAATACAGATAATCTTTAATTGTGTTTAAAAAGTCTGAAAGCATTGACACCAGACAAGGAGTAAAAGAACTTGGCTGGATGCAATAATGATTAGATGTTTATGAGACTAATGGGAATAGTCACAGGCAAGCTAGGTGGGATAAAAAAAAAGAGGGTTTGCAATCCTAATGTTTCAGAACATGATGCCACCACTAGTTACCTGGAGTTGGGAAGAAATGTTCCCCTTAATAAAGGTCTTATTTGTGTGCCCATTAATAGACATTATATGTGCATTAACAGAAGCATTAAATGTTCTCTAGATGGACTACTGCTGGAAACTAAATGAGCAGTAAATGAAACAGACCATTAGGCTGATACTGTATCACATTTCTTGTGTTCTTGAGAAGTCAGGTATGTATTAAAATATATCTTTAAGAAGGTGAGCTTTATGATCCCTTCCTAGCAGGCAATTTCATTTGGTACTGTTTGAATATTCAATATGTTTTATCTAGCTAATCAATGAATAAAGATTATTTCTGCTGTTCAAACAAAATTTGAATTTGTCCATCAAAAGTCCAAAGGTTAATTCCTGCCTAACAATGTATAGCATGACTGAATTTCTTCCAACAGGAAACTTACATGATTGCATTGATATCGCATACTTCATTTGACAGCTGTTCTGAGTAACCTCTTATAGCCCGTCGAGGCAGTGTTACTTTAGTGTATGAGAGACAGCAGTCTTGGTTGCTTTGTGCTGGAATAGAAGAAAAAAAGACAACACTTAGGAATGAGGGAAATAAAATTATATTTTCATCTTATAAAACTATATTTTCATCCTGCCTAGGGTTCTCATTGGACAAGTTCCTGAACAGTGAATTCCACTTGTAAAAAACAAAGGGGTGGCAAGAAAGGGCAAGGACAATATAGGAACTAACTCCCTGAGAGACTTTCTTTCAGTCCTCCATGTACCCCCACCTCAGTCACAGACACAGTCTGGTGATGGATGTGTCTCAGAGTAATATTCAGAACTACTTCGCTTCAGAAATGAAAGTCAAGTTCACTCACCTTCAGAAATACCACACAAGTACAGCAACAACAACCCCATCAAAGAAGCCAGGACCAAGCTCTTGCTGGTAAAACCAGTCATTCTCAATTCAGTAAGCAGTTGTGATGGTAGTTTATACTAGAAGTGTAGCTGTTGTTGACTGATAGCTCTGTTCTGATGGCTTTGGCTGTCAACACAACCTGCTTATAAAAGCCTGTAGGAGACCTCAGGAAATTCACACATGGGTGTGTTCCATTATTATCATGGGATTTTCCCCCAGCAAGTTCCATTGTGCCAACCAAATTCACTTGCCTCATTGCTGTCATGGAAAAAATTTCCCCAGTTGCTGCTTAAATAGGTTGAAGACACTATTTGGTAATAAAAAAAAAGAAAAGGAAATACAAATTCTATGAGGTCATGGTTCTGTGGGCAAAACGTATAAGGCAGGTGGAACTGTGGTTGTGAGAAAGTTCAAAGTGCATTGATAGGAACCGTGTATGCATTTGATATGTTCTAATTTAATAAACTCCACTTGCAGGGAGAGAGAGAGAGACAGAGAGAGAGAGAAACAGGACCTGCTTTCATCAGGGTAATTTCCGACGTACAGTACATCATTGTCAGATACTATTTACTTCCTCCTCCCCCCACCATCTTGCATTCGTAGCAAGGTACAAGTATGTTATAGTGACATCCAGGCGGAACAATGCCAGTTGACCAGCACAGAGATGTCATTCACTCCAGATTACTACTTTCTGGTGCAGTACTCCTTACCATGATGCCACATCATAGGAGCTCTACAATGTTGGAAGGAGTTGGGCTGACTGGGCCCAGCCCTGCATTTTGACTTAGTCCCTGGCTTACTGCATGTAATACTTAAACAAATGACATAGTGGGTATGTCTACATGTGCCCTTTAATGCACAGTAGCCTATTTTACTATGCATTAAAACATCATCCAAAAAAAGTGCAATTATGTTAACTGCACAGTAAAATAGGCTACTGCAAATTAAACGTCACTGAAAAACCATGTACATTCATTACTGCACATTAAGGCAGCCTAAAACGCATTTCTTCAGTACCTCACACTAAGGGTACTGAATTGAATGTGCATTAGAAAAAGTTCCTTAATGCGTGTGTAGATGCACCCAATAAGTATAACTAGAGGGACTTTAATCATTGTCTGCCACCAATCAGACCAACCAGCAGAGAGAAAGTATGCCAGGGTTACACATCTGAAGTATGGAAGTACAGTTACACCTGTTATATGTTAAGTATATATTTAAATAACTGATTTCTATAACCAATCGAATTTTAATGGTCACCAGTCACTGCACAGATACTCATGTAAATATACCTTATTTCACTACTTTGGTATATATACACCAATTACTTGTCCTCTTATTGCTAAACCTCCCTGTGCCATTTGATGATCTGCAAGAGATTTGAAACTCCTTACTCATTACACTTTTGGTAGCCTAGCCAAGCCTGGTACTGTCTTCCAAGAAGAGAGTGGTAAAGTGGGGGGGAGGAAGGGGGGGAAGGAACTTGATAAGAAGCAGAGCCCTCATTAAACTAAGAGGAAGGGAGGATTAAGGGAAAAGAAAGGCATGTTGAGCCAAGGTTTTGCTAAAGCCAGTGGTGTAACTAGGGCTGCCAGGGCAGTGTTGTATGGCAGCAACCAGAAGCCACATTCTGTGTGACAGGTGCCCCAAGTGCCTTGCCACATCATTACTTCTCTGGCTAAAGCCTTAGCAAGACAGTGTCTTGCAAATCAGTGCTCCTAGTCTATCCAACATAAGGCAGTTCAGATGCAGTATTAATAGAAATTGGTCTATTTTGAGTTGTATTTTGCCTTGCATCAATGCCTTCACTTTCTACCTATTTTGTCCATATCTGAAATGTTCTACATGCATCTGATTTGATTTGAAAAGAATGTAAGATGAGGGCTATATCTTCATGTATGTCTATACAGAACAGAGTACATCACTGGTATTCAACAAATAACAATTGTATCATATTGCTTTTCCATGCCCATCCTGTGTCCTAAATATGTAATTAAGAAAAAGACATTTACAAAGGGACTCTTTTCCATACTAACTTTTTATATAATTCACTCACTTCTTATTTTTATATTTCCATGGATTGTACAAAACCAGTCCTGGGGAGTTGTTGCTGGAAGCTTACTTTCCAATGTCATTTTGCAACCAATGTGAAAAAAAAACCCAGATGGTTCAGTTCACTTCCTACTGTCCAGATACATCCTAAGTATCCCTGCCACAATTGGTACACTTGTTGACAAAAATGTCAGAAACTTCTGCTATGCAGTCTGGCTTGTGATATTAATCCTTAGAGGTGGTCCCTCCAAGTTAACATTGTAATAGGCATCGAGTTGCATCATAAGGGAATGTTTATGCTTATCCTGTTTGTTGTAATACAGTCCTTCCTTTCTCTAGGTCTGTCAATCTGTCTGTCTGTCTCATAGTTTTAAACTCTTCCATTTTTTCTGTTTTAAATACCTGGCCATTATTAATGCTAATATTTTTTTCAAGAGGCCTAGGGCACATGTCAGAGTGCGTGAGGGTGGCTCTGTAGTGAGTGTGTGGATTCTATTATGTTTTAGAGATACCCCTACCTACAGTCATCAAAGGGGCATGCAGGAAATGTGAGAACATACTTATAGTTATCCTATGCCCTAATGATCTGGAGTTACTCTGAGTGCTTTATGTCACTTCTGCTGAAAACTGCTGTCAACAAACTCTAATCAACACAGTGATATGTTCAACTACTAGAATTAACAGTTTTTTAGAATTACAGCTTGAGAACTGTGCTTGACATGCTATTTAGGCAGCACTGAATTTTTTAGACAGATTGGAAGGTTTGAGCAGGCCCCCATTTGTGAACTACCAAACAGCTTTCTGATCAGGGTCCAAATTAGCGCCAGGCATGAACAAACAGCAGACGCTTGTAGTAAAGTTAAATTTGCAGAATTCTGTGACACTCAGCGGTTTTAAATGGAAGCCACATGGGGCCAGGCTTTCAATAACATCCTGGTTTTTTTTTTTAAACTGGAGTTCAAATTATCAGATCCAGTCTCTCTAGAGCCAGCTAATCAAAGGAAACAAAAAATTATTTGGAATTTTTCATGCAGCATAAACACTTAGAAGATTACCATTCTGGTAAACACCTGCCCTTTGATTATTAAAGAGAAACAAATGCACAAAATTTGGACAGTCCAGACTGACTGGGCAAAAACATACATATACATAACAAATTGGTTGCCAGCCATATGCAAAGCAAGGTGTGAAATCTTATTTCAGCCACTAATCCAAAAATGGCATCCTAAATGCAATGGTTTATTCTAGAGGAGATGTCACCCAAACACCATGGAATGGCAGATTCCAAAGGATAGATTCCTTTTGGGGATAAAACACTGAGCTCCAAAAAGTTACTATTAAAACACATAAGGGCCTCCCCAGTTTCTGTAGGAATATAGTGTTTGCCCCAGTGTTCTTGGCCAAAATTTCCCACCCATGTCCAGCTCTGGATTCCAGTTGTGTTCTGTGTATATAAGCTAATTTCCAAACATACCAAAAGATCAACTTAATCATTTTAAGGTACTGTCTCACACATTACCCTGCAGAAATGCATCAGATTCAATGAAATAACTCATTTCTTCTTTTCCATTAGTTCCTCAGTTCAAGTATTGTTGTGTTCAAGAAGAGCACTACTGTTAGTGTTTGAAAATTAGGCACTGACTTAACACTTCTCGTGCTTTTTTCCATTTAATTATGGATGGCATTGTAGCACAGTGAAGTCTTTGAATGTCCTAAGCACCTCTAAAGGACAAGAACTTTATCTTCTTACTTTCACTACATAAATATTAATATAAGCATGAACAGCCTTCAGTCATATCAGATTTAGGTTATTTCCTGGTAACATTCTTTTTTCTGGTGTTGACAGTTTATATTGATATAATATAAGATCAGTCCTGAGGGCCTCACGCTAAGAATGAATGTCCCTTTGAATGTTCTCACTTGTATGTGAGTTGTCTTAAGGGATTTCTTTGCCAAATGTCTAGGACATTGGAAAGCACAAAAGATGAAGCTGTGAGCTGAAGTAAATATCACACAATGCTGTTGTGGATAGGATCTGGAATTACTGGGCCTGTCAGTTTACAATACCAGGCAAACAATAAAAAATATAAAAAGAGGAAGGAGTGTTTGAACTGTGGAATAACACCTGTTACAAAAAGATCTCTTCTTCCCTCCCCTCCCAAGGCTTGATTAAACCCAGAATTTTCCCTTCGTGTTCTGGCCATAGTTCACTTACAAGTTTCCCTCATTTCAGGTCCTCTCACCTCTTCTCCTTTTTTCTCTGTTTTCCTGCATAAATAAGAAAATAACCTTTCATGGGGAAAGGAGTACCTTTTATATTATTATTTTCTTAATGTTTAGCTTAGGCTGTATATCTCCCAACTATACATTTGGTCCAGTAAAAATATTACCAATCAAAGCTTGTTTGAGAATAGTAGTCAGTATTCAAGTTCTATAGAGATGCTAACAGACAAGGATTCTGCAGACTGGGAGATAAGTTATACTGGGACCCAACTGAATCCTCAGAACAAATCAGAATCCTCCCCGACGAGGAACGCATTCTCTATTGCCCAAAACATCATCTCTATCTGATGCACCTCCTCTCTTTAGCCACAGACATGGGTTCAGTTTTTACAAGAGAAAAAATGATGTGGTAGAAGAAAGCCCAACATCCCAAATTTCTAATTTTAAATTATATAACTCAATCCCACTCATTCTTTTTGGCATAAGATTGGATTTTATACCATCCCTAGGACGGAACTAAGCTACATTTTTTACACTCCTCTTTCCAAAACAACGTATAATGTTATGGATACAATTTTAATGTATAAAGGTTTACTCACATTGCTACATCATCACCCTTTTTGCAGTTAGGTTTTTGTAAAAAAATAAATAAATTTATGCCTATTTAAAATCCTACATGTGAAAACATGGGCATACACAAACCTAGATGCTTGGGACTTCATTTGTTCCAGTCTTTCTGACTAGAATGGTTTGAAATCCCTCTAAAAACATGGACTAAAGGGGCAGTATTTATAACTACTGGGCTTTGACAAAACCTCCAGAAAAAGC